TAACTATTGTAAACCAGGAAGCATTGGATAATTATTTCGTTCTAGTTGCATGTCCATGATTACATCGAGCGTTGAACCGGGGACTTTTACGTCTCTTTTGACGAGCACTTAATCTCAGAAATTGTTTTACTCAATTAGAACCAGTTAAAGAAAATTAATGTCTATTTTGAATCCGCCATAATTGATATCATTTATGAAATTCCCGTGTGTATGAGTTATGGCTTCTATATTTATTTCCTTCAAAATTCATAAATAGACAATGCTACTATATAGTAGTAGCTTTCACCGAATTGAGGTATTGTTTCATCAACTGAATATTTAACACTTTGACCACGGAATATTTCAGTCTCAAATTAACATTTTTGTACCGTTAACTTATAGGTTCACTTTGTTGATATCATTCTTACTGCTAGTCTGTATTGGTTATGTTTATGACGATTTATTTTGGTTAAAGAAATAGGGAAATATGTTTTCTTTTCATAATCAAAAGCAAATAGTCGAATGGCTGTGTAAGTTAATGAAATATCATAGCTAAACAATTTTGAAGCTTTACTTCATATTTATGTTTCTTTTAAATTCAGTCGATAAATAACTCAGTTTTCGACCACACAATCAAATCGGAGAGAGATCACGGCACTACAAATGTACATAGATTTGCAAATCTCTCGCCATTCTCGTTTCTTTCTCCCAGTCAGTCCATGTCGTCTCATGATATCTTCATATCCGGTGTTGTCCATTCTGACTTTAGCGTCTAAGTCTTCGATCAGGATGGTCAGGTCTTTTCCTGGTCACTTCTCTATGATCAATTGAAGCCCCTCGTAAAAATGATCTTTATCGTCGTTGTTGCTATCATTGATGGGTGAATAACATTGGATAACATTCATTGTGATCCCCTCCTTTGTTTTGAAGGATCCTTTGATGATCTTGGATCCATCAAATTGCCATCCTATAAGTGCTTTGTGTGCTTCTTTGGACAGCATCAGGGCGACTGCTTGAGTATGCGGAGCAGTTTCCTCTTCTTGACCAGAGTACAGCAACATCTCTCCCGAACTTATCCTTTTCTGTCCGACTTGGATCCAATATCCTTCACTGATTGCGAGCACCGTCAAGTTGAATCTCCTCATTTCGGCAGCTATTTGATTGGCACTCTCGATCTCCTACATTGTTCGAAAATTCCGTGTACTCATATTAATTGTTGCTCTGGTTCTTAAAAGGGGCATCGGCTTCATGACTTCCGAAGAATATCGGCTTTCTCCATGAGACGTCATAATTCTTCCCTTAACACGGAGGGCAGAGTTTAAATTGTTTATTTTTTAGCATAGTTGTTTTCTACGACGTGTGGTTGTCACCCTATGCCTAACCTTCCTCCTTTACCCGGTTTTGGGACCGACAGTTACCTTAGAAGAGTCAATTATTATAGTGTACTTGGAATACAATCCTTTTAAAGTATTTTTTGTTTTACTTCTCGGTATCTCTTTTGTTAACTCTAAGTTGTTGTTTAACAAATATAATTGGCTTAAGAAAATATATGAAATTAGTTGATACCAGCATAGATTTCTAGTCAGATTATTAGACAGGGGAAGATTTCCTAATGAAATAACAATAAGATTATTATTTGAAATGTGCATATTTTGAGATTGTGGAGAAGACTTGTAGATGATTTTAAATATGTTTTGATCTCTGAGCTGGATGGTTATTTAATAATTTTCCATAGTCAGTAATTATGATTTATATTGTTTTAAAACAATTATGTTCATTTCATGATGTCAGTTATGTTATATAGTTCTAAGATCTAAGAAAAAAAACATTTCTGCTACTCAAATTTATTAAGATCACTGTTGTTGTTGTTGCCATGTTCAGTTAGTAGTTTCTTTTTAAAATCATCATTCTATTTAGCAAAATATAAGAGAATATTGTAAATCTATTTTATTTAACAATAAGCATAATCCTGTTATCATGATATATGTAAATGTATTTTAAAAAACAGTAATAAATGGGAAAGAACAAAAGCACCAATTAATTTGTAAGCTTTAACACTCCTTTGATTTTTATAAGTAGTTGCCTATACTTTTGAACTTAATGATATATATATATATATATATATATATATATATATATATATATAGAGAGAGAGAGAGAGAGAGAGAGAGAGAGGTAGTAGTTGGTCAATGAATATATACAACAAATATACCGAGAGTATAGCGTATAGTGTGAATACTCACGAGGATAGGAAAAAGAAGTGCTTTATAATGTAGAGAAGCATTAAATTCTCTATTTCACATTGCAGACATACCGTATAGACTCACACACTAAATGATGCTACTGTATGCATACAACACAGGATCATTTTTCACTTATTCTGTTTTAGCAATGGTTGGATGGAAGCACACACACATATATATATGTTATATATTATGTGAAAAGCAGTAATATAAGTTTATTTTTATTATTTGGAAGCTGTGTTAGAGTGAGTGAGTGAGTAGGTAGGATAGGATTCCAAGAAATTTCCATTTATTTATCAGTATTGAGGAGAGCACAGGTCATCTGTTCTAGCGCTCAAGTAAAAACAAATCTGTGTGTGGGTGTATAGGATAAATATGAAAAGGGAGAAAAAATTAATCAATGAACTTGTCTCATGAACAAAAGTAGTAGAGTGGGAAAGACAGAGAAACTGGTATTCTCTGATAGGAAAACAGAAGAGAAACTTCTCTATTTATTTATTTATTCTGATCGATTCGTGCCATTCACGTGGTTTGGCGTGGCGTTGTGTATATATCATGTAACATTCTGCCCGGTTATTATAATGATGCTTAAGCGAAATTGACCAATCATAAATTTTTATAGATTGAAAATGAGCTGAAATGAAAAGTAGTTTTAGTTGTATAGAGTGGGACTATTTTAACCAGAAATGATGGGTGTGCCTTCGTAGGAAGCATATAATTATACAAAATATGTATACAAATTGCTTACACACGGGTGCTACATTTATAGACATACACTTAAAAATTGATTTGAAGAACCATTTTGGATGTTGATGAGAAGAGGACGAATTTTTAGGGTTGTTAATTTTAACTGTAAATTCTTAAGTTGCAAGCTAATCATCATTGTCTATGGGCACAAAATAGGAAAACTCGGTTTAAAATATTAAAGAACAGGATGCGATCTGCATTTAGCTTGTGTCTTTCAGACAAGTGCATTAAATCTTATTACTACTTCTGTCATTTTGTTTATTGGCTTGCAGTTGGAGGATATTAACCACATATTTTTTGGATTGCTGAATGATGAACTACTCTTTCTCTGACCAGATTCAGAATGAAGACACAAGTTTAAGGTCTAGATCGTCTTGTGATTGGGACATTTACACTCATACCTAACCACATACTACCCGCACACTTAATACTGTCTAACATACGAGTAGGTTTTAAAAAGGTTAGAAGCAGCCAAACGAGGATGTGACATTAATCCCCAAAATCGTTTACTATTGATCTGTTTTGTATTTACGGTGCAAATTTCCTGATTGTGATCTCTGCGATAGTGGTAGTCAATAATTGAATTCATTAAATAACAAAATGTATAGTTGATTTCAATAACACTGATTTATGGGATACTTTTTCTTCCAAACCTTGACTTCAAACTCCTTATTCTTCAGTTTTATTTGTTCTTTTCGAATCACATTCTCCGTCCTATCTTGTCTTGATAGTAAACACCATTATAATTTCTGCCTATTTATCATGCATGTTATTTCTCGTTTGCTGTGTTGATGTTATCTAGCGATTTAGACAAATGCACCTTTATGTTAGGTTCTACGTTTTTCATTGAAATGGCTGACTAAAATGCCCTTTTTCATAAGCCCTGAGATTGTACTACCTAACATTTCATTTACGTTATGCTTGTTTTTAAACTTTAATTGTTCACTGGTCATCAGCTTGTCAATAGTTCAGATATAAATATTTTAAGAATATACATAGAAGGAGAATTTTTATCAAGTCTTATTAATTTTATATTGAATAGTTTTCAGGATTTATTACTTGTTGTTTAGGTTCCCACTAAACGGTCATCGACTTGAAAACTCTATGCGCACATACTATAAATGTTTGTCATTATATTTTGATTCATCATTTATTAGACTATCTTGAATAGACCTGGTTTGACAGAACAGATCTCTATACATCTGGTAGAAATTGGAGAAAAAAAGGGAACTTGATTACAAGATATACTGATTATCATCATTTTGTTGAAAGAATACTCTCATTCTTTTTGTTTCGGTTTGATGGGAAAAAAGTGCAAACTATTATTCTTCAAGAAATATAATCTCAATCTGTTTCACAGTTAAAACAATGAATTTCTATAAGTAGTGAAAGTTTTTCATGACAAGTAATTCAGTCATTAATGTGAAATAAATTTTATCAGTTAGAAATGTTTTTTTTCTCTCTCATTTCCAAGTTAAATAGAATTAATATTAACTATCATTAGTATCGAATAAAGTTAATGACAATATAATGTACTTAAAAGTTAACTTTCAACTGGATAGCAGGTTCGATCTTCAGTCTACTTATTTCAGTTTCAACAATTAAGTAATATTGTTAACCCTCATACAATTAAATAGCTATTGCAAATCTTTTAAAAACAATTTTATTTATTTCGTAAAAAATGTATATTGTTGATTCAACAGATCTACATGTTAGGTAATAAAGGAAGGAAGGATGCACACTGCTGATGAGTCCTATACTAGAACTAAACGGCCATCCAGTGCTTCCAGATGGTGATCTAGCTTCAATTGGCTCATAATTTTAACTAGTGAAGTTTCTAAAAATCTGCACAATATCCTTTCTGAAGCTTCAACAATTGAATTAACAATATTATCATTTGAATAAATTAACGTCTGCTCATCTTTATCATAATTAATCGGAGAGTTTATAAATATATCCAATATTTTTTACTATTATTATTACAGAATCTTTATGTATTTTTTACTCTTTTTTTCTCCCTTGACAAATTAGCTACTCAAACACAATATATGAAGACAAAACATCATTTATACATTATGCATGATGGTCGTATTAATATGTGCGCTTTAACTACAAACAATATTGACCATATTGCACAAGCTATACATGATACGGTTATTAATGTTAAAGAATAATCACTGGAAATGACTGATTATGAGCAAAATTTTGTTTAGAATAAAGAAAGAAAAAAACACAGGATATATGTGTAGTTATTTTCCTCTTTCATGTTAGTTACAATTTTCATATATTCATCCTTTTTTTAAAAGTAGAGATTAAAGAAATTAACAGTTGCTTGCCTTTTCTTCTTCTTCATCACTATATCAACGTCATCATGATGATACAATATTCCTTAGTTCTATCATGTTGGTTTTCACCATTCATTTTTTCATTGATACATTTCATCCATCCTAATGTATTTCTTCTACCACTAGTGTATTATACACGAAGTGTTTTCTTATTGATATAACCGTTTTTCTCTTATTATTAGTACATTTATATATGATTGAATATTTGTAGTATTTTGTATTAGTTACTACTACTATTAATTATTAAGATGGTAGGTTATATTCTTTTTTTTTACTGCACTATTCCTCGTTCCTTTGTGTAACCTTAGTATATTGTATTTTTATTGACAGCATCTACTAATAAATGTACGAATAGATAATAGTATAAAAAGTTTGGGAAGTAATATGTTTCTCATTTTTATCGTAAATTAAATAAATAAGTTTGTATGGTTTTGATGTTTTTCTCGTTTATCTTTTATAATTCCGTATTAATATTATATACATGTCGACAATGTTGTTTTACGATTAAATGAAGACTTTTAGCTCTAGGTTGTTTTAGTTAGAAATTCTTTAATAGAGTAGTTATTCTGGGTTTTTTTCGCACTAACTAGACATCTAAATTTGCTAAAAATGTTCATGAATTTATTCCTATGTCATTGAGAAACGTAGACTGATGTTATTGTAGTCTTGTTAAACAGTTAGACGAACACCTTTCGGCAAATGAATTTCTTACTTAAGTTATCTAATCCGAAAAACACGTGATCTAATTTGATCAGTATTTGCCAAATAAGTCCTCAACTAATGTGGTATCTTTCAGTTTCGTTATTAGATAAGCTTTATATGGACATGTGCACTTTAATTTACTGCATTATAAGGGTAAACTAACTTTTTGATCTCGATAGCTAAAGGTGAATAATAACGTATCCTTGATGTATTCTTATCCATCTATTCATTAGGCTCGTTCTATTTCCCGCAAATTATTTTATGTATGAATAACGGATGATACGAAGCCGTATATAAATGGTTATAGAAGAACGTGATAGCTAACAAACGTTTGTTGAATACATAGTCAATCAAAATCGTTGGCCGTCAAACTATTCAACATTAGTGCCGTTTGTAGCACAAGCTTCGACGTTTGTATTGCAGAATAGAATTAGTAGGGCTTATTGGAGCGGGATTTTGGTTTTGTCACTTGGCTGTAGTGAATAACTCCAGAAACTGTCTGACTCACTCTTACGCATTGGTGTTAATCGCCCAGTATTCTACTTTAAAAACCTAGGATATTTCATTGGAAGGGTAATAGACCATGTATTACTAAACATTATTGCAACTTGGAACGAGGCTATGCCCATCTTTATATGAATCATTTGATTTATGTTGACTATCAATCTACAGAGTAAAACTACTGAAAATTAAAAAAGGAAGTATTGAAGTTCAGAATTAATTTTATGGCTGATCCATATGGAATACCTAACCTAACTAAGTAGATAACTTTCTAACATTTAAAACAACAAGTCTTAATGCTGATATAATTAATGTGGGCACTCACACGAATAGATATTCAGCCAGCTGGCAAGCAGTAAGTGGGACGAAACTGGCGTTCTGTATATTCGTTTGCCTCATCTATTCATAGGATTTATGCTGGCTCATACTTAAAGCGCTGAGTGAGAAGTGACTAGACAGAGACTAGATATTGTCGTAGCATGAATACTTTAAGTTTGATAAAGATTGAGAAATATGTGCCGATAAGGTTTTCATTTTTTTATTTGAACACATAAACATTGGTACCAAGAGGCATCAAATAGATATGAGCCACATAAATCACTTGATTTGTGTGGGCTGTGATGCTGCCAGGGTGCCTAGACCGAAGCACGTGGTTTTCCTAGGGGGTCATACCCCGAGTCTTCAACCTGAAAGTCAGATCCGTAAGGTAGTGGAGCGAAGTCAGCAGGTGCAGTCCCATGGTAACCGGTGGCCAACAATAGGTTCATACGCCAATTGTTCCTTCAAGATCTTGGAGCCAGCCCATGTACACCATTGGTTTAGAATCAGGGTTAAACCACCGCACATCCGCTTTTCGTCCTCTCAATTTCGTAAACAACACCCCCGCCTCGAGAAGACAGTGAGTAAGATTTCCCTGGCAGTGGTTGTACGCACGTGGCCATTTCAGAGCATTTCGAGAGGGAGGAATGACTTTCCCCACTCTCGGCCGTACCAGGGCATTTGAAGGCGTTCTCATTTTTAATACATCTGCATGGTATTCTATGCGTTTACTTTTTCTTATATGAAGTAAGGCATCAAACTATGCGTAAAGGCCACATAATAAGTTCGTAACTTGAAAATAGAAACAAGTTGTTTTATACACAACTAATTTACACTAAAATGAATATGACTAACAAGTCATGTTTCGTAGAATGTTTGGATGTTTTAAGCTTAAAACGATAAAGACTGGTAATCCAAGCTTAGTTCGAAGTGGGACTTGTTAAATTTTTTCGGGGAATGAAACAAAGTCAACTAAAACGATGGATACTACCGGGATAGGTATGATGTTCGTAACTTCAAGACAGCATTTTGTAGATTCAATGGAATTTTTTGAAATTCCGCTTATCGATCTCCCACACTATACACTCCGCCTGGAGCCCCTTTCCGGGGGCTACTGCCGGTCCCAAGCCCGGATAAAGGAGGAGGGTTGGACATGGGGTTAGCGACCCCATCCCGTAGAAAACTAACTCGCTAAAAAAACGCTAACCAGAAAACTTATTCAAACCATTTAAACTCTGCCCTGGGAGTCAGGAGGTCTTCGTTTAGAAGAATTATGACGCCTCATGATGAAAGCCGAGTTCCTTCGGAAGTCACGAGGCCGATGCCCCTTCTAACAACTAGAGCAACCATTTATTTAGGTACATGGAATGCTCGTACAATGTAGGAGACTGAGAGAGTTTTCCAAATTGCTGCAGAAATGAGGAGATACAATTTAGAGGTGCTTGGGATCAGTGAAACACATTGGACGCAAGTTGGACAACAACGACTAGCTTCAGGGGAGCTGCTGTTATACTCCGGACATGAATCAGAAACTGCCCCACATGCACAAGGAGTAGCATTGATGCTGTCCAAACAAGCACAAAATGCACTTATAGGATGAGAATCTCATGGAACAAAGGTCATCAAAGCCTCCTTCAAAACAAAGAAAGAGGGCATTACAATGAACGTCATCCAATGCTATGCGCCTATCGACGACTACAATGAAGACGCTAAAGATCAATTCTACGATAGGCTGTAGTCAATCGTCGAGAAGTGCCCAACAAAAGACCTGACTATTCTGATGGAAGATTTAAATGCCAAGATTGGAATGGACAACACTGGATATGAAGAGATGATGGGACGACACGGACTGGGAGAAAGGAACGAAAATGGTGAGAGATTTGCGAATCTATGTGCCTTCAATAAACTGGTCATAGGCGGCACTATATTCCCACATAAACGCATTCACAAAACCACATGGACTTCACAGGATCACACCACACAGAACCAAATCGACCATATCTGCATCAACAAAAAGTTCAGGAGGACGATGGAGGACGTGAGAACCAAGAGAGGAGCTGATATAGCATCAGATCATCACTTGCTGGTCGCCAAGATGAAATTGAAACTCAAGAAACGCTGTACAATGGGGCGGACAATATCAAAAAAGTTTGATACGGCTTTTCTTCGGGATACTGACAAAGTCAAAAAATTCAGGATAGCCCTCAGCAATAAGTTCCAGGCCTTTCATGATCTACTCAATGAAGAAGGAACTACTATGGAGAGCGACTGGAAAGAGATAAAAGAGGCAATCACTTCAACATGTCATGAGGTTCTGGGTCAAAAGAAGCACCATCACAAGGATTGGATCACGGTCGATACACTGGATAAGACTCAAGAAAGGAGGAACAAGAAGGCAGCAATCAATACCAGTCGAACAAGAGCAGAAAAAGCCAAGGCAAAGGATGAATACACAGAAGTAAACAAGCAAGTGAAAAGGAGCATCAGAACTGACAAACGTAAATATGTGGAAGATTTAGCAGTGATGGCGGAAAAGGCTGCCAGAGAAGGAAACATGAGACAACTGTATGAAACAACAAAGAAACTCTCTGGAAATCACCGTAAACCAGAACGACCAGTGAAAAACAAGGAAGGCGAGATAATCACCTTTATTGAAGAACAACGAAACAGGTGGGTAGAACACTTCAAAGAACTCTTGAATCGACTAGCCCCACTTAACCCACCCAACATCGAAGCAGCACTCACGGACCTCCCAATTGATGTTGGCGCACCAACAATTGAAGAGATCAGCATGGCTATCAGACAAATCAAGAGTGGCAAAGCAGCAGGACTAGACAGCATTCCAGCAGAGGCACTGAAAGCAGACGTAGCGGCAACTGCAAGGATATTCCACATTCTCTTCAGAAAGATCTGGGATGAGGAACAGGTACCAAAAGACTGGAAAGGACTTCTAGTCAAAATACCAAAGAAAGGCGATCTCAGCAACTGTGACAACTACAGGGGAATCACTCTTCTTTCAATACCAGGAAAAGTCTTCAACAGGGTATTGTTAAACAGGATGAAGGACTCCGTAGACGCCCAACTTCGAGACCAACAGGCAGGATTCCGTAAGGATAGATCGTGCACAGACCAAATCGCAACTCTACGGATCATTGTGGAACAATCAATTGAATGGAATTCATCACTCTTCATCAACTTCATCGACTACGAAAAAGCATTTGATAGCGTGGACAGAACAACCCTATGGAAGCTTCTTCGACACTACGGCGTGCCTCAGAAGATAGTCAATATCATACAGAATTCCTATGATGGATTAAACTGCAAAATCGTGCATGGAGGACAGTTGACAAAGTCGTTCGAAGTAAAGACCGGTGTCAGGCAAGGTTGTTTACTGTCACCCTTTCTCTTTCTCCTGGTGATTGACTGGATCATGAAGACATCAACATCTGAAGGGAAGCACGGGATACAGTGGATAGCTAGGATGCAATTGGATGATCTGGCTCTTCTATCGCATACGCAACAACAAATGCAGGAGAAGACAACCAGTGTAGCTGCAGCCTCAGCAGCAATAGGTCTCAATATACACAAAGGGAAAAGCAAGATTCTTCGATACAACACAACATGTACCAATCCAATCACAATTGACGGAGAAGCTTTGGAAGATATAAAAACCTTTACATATTTGGGCAGTATCATCGATGAACACGGTGGATCTGATGCAGATGTGGAGGCACGGATTGGCAAAGCAAGAGCAGCATATCTACAACTGAAGAATATCTGGAACTCAAAACAATTAGCAACCAACACCAAAGTCAGAATTTTCAATACAAATGTCAAGACAGTTCTACTGTATGGCGCGGAAACCTGGAAAACTACGAAATCCATCGTCCAAAAGATACAGGTGTTTATTAAC